TGTGAGTTTGTTTCGGGGGGGGGGGGGGGGGTTGGTCATGGTCGTACATGCCGTGGTCATTAGACCATTGACCTGGGGTCATCGACAGCAGTTTCATGGGAGCACGTGCATGCATCAATGTTGGATGGTTATGGGGCTAAATGTGTCACCCGTGGAGGTTGTGAACAACCCGTGGGTTTCCACCGAGTACGCGTTGGACACGTGTCTCTGAGGAAGCCAGGGGGGGGGAGAGACAGAGAGAGAGAGAGAGAGAGAGAGAGAGAGGACGAAGTTCCTGGCGTGTATCTAGACGGGGAAAGGGGCGGCGTCCACCCTTGCTGCGGGCGGACCCCGACAATCCGCTCAAAACGAACCAACACTTACGCCTCCCCGCTGATAGTAGTGTAGCTGCCGTTTGTCATCGCCTTGCTGTTTTTTAGACAATATAAATTCACAGAAATACTAGCCGTTCGAGATATAACCACAGTCGAAAAGGATGTGCTGAATTATTATCAGTGAGTGGAGGGAAGCAGGCTGTGTTTCGCTGCTGGTTGCACTCTGCCGATGTTGTGCCAATGTTCGCCAGCCTGCAGGCCACCAAGCAGCGTCATACCAGAGTAACGGTTTTGCGTCCCTTCGTCTGTTGCCAACTATCTCCGCTGCGGTCCTCTTGTTGTTGTTGTTCCCCGCAGGAGGTGCCGGTGAAGCACGTGGTTGTCAACAAGGTGGTGGATGAGTCTGTAAAGGAAGGCTACATTCAGCGGTTGTCCAAGGGACAGCGGCGGGGGTGGAGCAGCTGGAGCAGGTGCGACTTTAAGTAGCGGTTTTTATCAGAGGAGTCGGCCGAGTTGTGCTGCAGTCAAGCTACGTGTTGCCAGAAACAGTAGGTCATGAAATGTCCCGGGGCTTCGAGGTAATGGCCGCACGTGTCAACCCGACAGGTAGGTGCGTCAGATCTAACATTCAGAGATCACGTCAAAAGTCATGGCCAGCTGCGACGCGACGAGCAGTAGATGTCACGGCGTTGGTAGTTATAACAGGTCCCCCTCGGCACAGTCGGGGGCGGGGGGGGGGGGTATGATAAACTATCGGTCAACTTTTTTGTGATCGTTGCACTCTTCTTTCCCGGCAAACAAGGCAATCGAAAGAAAACATACATAGGGTCAGGACCACAATGCCCCCCCCCCTGAACGCAATGCTCCGTCGTCTAGAGAACTCGTGGTCAAAAGTCTCACAACTAAGGCATGCAATCCCCCCCCCCCCCCCCACAAACAGTTCCTCACTCTCAGTCTTGACCCTGACTTCCTCCGCGCTTGGTGTTGGGACGTGCGTCCCGGGCACACGGGTGGGGCTTTTCTCGCGTCGCTCGTGCCGCAAGTTGCCAAGGGCGCGGCCGGGGTTTCTTTGACCTTGGGGCCCTACTTTCACGTCAAGGTCCCCAACGTGTACGGGTTGAGATTCATGGGGCAAAATCTGTTCGCGCCGAGAGACAAGGGGTGAAACAAGAACCTGTAGTAAAATCATCCACCCGGTGCAGCTAGTCCGTAGACAGGAATCGATGGCGGGCGTCTGGCTCCGAGGACACAAGAGATTGACAAATCGGCGCGCGGCTTGAGGTTGGTTGGTGACAGCTACGGTGACGCTGTTGAGATTGGCACGAGATAAATCCCGACGCATGTTTGTGTCGGTTCACGATGCATGTATCGTTCTGTGTTTGGAGCTGTCTGTGTGGGATTGGGCCTGACGTGTGGTGACGCCGGTGGTCGGTTGTAGATGCTGTTGTTGACGCGGGCTCTTCGCTACAAACAGGACTTTTTTTTCTGTCTCGATGCGCATGACGTTTTTTTGTCTGTGATTGCAGAGGCGCCAGCTAGAATGAGTATTATATTGTTGTAGGCGGGATTTGGTTTTTCGCAAGGCTGCTAGTTTGCCTGTTTATTTTACCCTCTGGCGTTTGGAGTAGTTTACATGTGGCGGCACCACGCGAGCTGAGGGCGGGGGGGGGATCGGTCGCTGCCTGCGAGACCTCCACCACGTGTTTTATCTGCACTGAAACGCGTTGGGATCGAAAACGAAGAGTCCAACCAAGCGTGTGTGCATGTGCTCCAGGCACATCATCCCTATCAGTGCCATCGCGGGAAGGCCTTGATTGTCTCAACATCTGCAATAATAGCGGCTGACTCTGGGTTGTTCGCACGATTAGTATTCCCACCAACACCCTTCGATGATTGTTTGACGGCAGACATTGCGGGGAACTGTGGAGAAATTCCTCGTGTGGGATGAGACCCGGGGGATAGTGCGCCAGAGTCACAAAAGGATATGGAGTGGCGCCCTGAATAATTGGGACGAAGAGAGAACTGCTTGAAGTAGTAGTTTGTTTGCCTATTTTGGGCCCAACCTGGTGAGGTGTTTTCTTTTGTTCCTTTCGGTCAATATTTTCTTCTCTTGTCATTACCCGATGGTAGAAACAAAAAAAAATCACACGGTCGTGTCATAGCTATAATAGCGCACCGACCGATGCTGCCTTCGCATTCAACAAGATATCTGTCCACCACCTCCTCTTCCGTACCCCTCCAACCAAAAAGAAGAGACGCACTTTTTATGTCGTTGATATGACAGATAAAACTCAATTCAAATCTAATTGCACATCATTGTGGGCAACGTTAGGTTCAAATAATAGGTTAGTTATTTCAGGTTTATTTTGCCCACTTCTTGACAACAACTCGGCGTCGAGCGCTGCTTGCTCGGAGGAGATCACAAACTTATTCGTTCGTTAGTTTTTCCCTCCTTGCCATTCATTCGTGGGCATCACCGTTGTCAACACTTTTGGACACTCGGACCGGGCCTGCCTGCCTTCCGCTGCCACCAACGTGAGAATAAGAGTCTATCCTTCTCCACGGACGTCGGTTAGATCCACTGGTGTTTTGCTTCTATCCGCGCTTCCGCACAAAAGCCGATGTACCTTGGTCGGCAGCATACATTGTCTACCTCCCGTTCTCCCGGCTCTTGAAAACGTGTACCAATACATCCCTCAGATGACATAAGATAACACACCCCTTCCCGGACCGATTTTCAAAGCCCGAGTACTCCACACGGCGAAAGAGGGTGGATCAAAACGAAAGACGCAATCTTGCGAGGCTCTCTCTCGACGAGGCGGTACGATCGCCGCGATTGCCGGCACCACCCCTCTTTCTGCCGTGCCGTGCAAGTCGGCCCATGGGGTGTGATATCTTCTGTCACCTACGGTACGTAGAATGGATTTTTCCCGTCCAAAACATCAAAATCCGAAAGCCGGGCTTCGGATCGTTGTATTCTCCCGCCGATCTATCCCGCCGATCTCTCGGCCCTTCTCGGGGAAAAGAAGCAGACTCTTTTCAACTTCTTTTCCCTTCTTTTTTTGTTCAACTCGCCGGCACCCCCGCTCTCTGCCCCCGCTCGCTGGCTGCCCCCTCTCCTCACAACAACCGGTTGGGACCACCAAGCACCAAACCCTCTTCAGCTCTCAAGCCTGGACGCACCTGGGAGGTGAATCAGCCACCGGTGAGCATCTAAAGTAGATTGCTGTGCATAGTCTATGTCTATGCACAGCATGGTTTACTGCTGTGTTGTGTGTACTGCTGTATAGTCTACTGTAGTGTGGATACAGCGTTCATTTCCTTTCTGAGAGGCCCCGAGGATCCTGGCCTTCCATAACTCTGACATCCATCACGTTGACAAGCCAAAGGCGTGATGCTTGCCGGGAGAGCACCACAGCCACTGCAGCAGTCCATGAAAACAGGGCGATGTGCGACAGAACGCGAAAAATTGTAGCCTGGGTTTGGGAAGAATTCAAAGCAGCAGGCGGCACTGCCTCCCCATCCGTCATGCGGTAGACCCTATCATCACTCCATGCGGTATCGCCGGCATCAAATCTTAGTATTTTCGCCCTCTCACGCGTTGTTCTCCGCACCAGCTTACACATCGCGCTGCGTGGACACCATGAGTCGCACGTGCAAACTCGGGGTCTTGGCCGCGCTCGCGTTGGCTGCAGTGCCCGCATCCGCCAGCTGCCCTTTCCTCGGTGGCCAGAAGGTGAGCGCATGCTGCATGTATGTACTGCTGTATCGGCCAAAGTTACAACATGTCCTAGCCAACTGCTCGTCCGTGCCGGGTGAGATTTTAGGTTCGTATTGTATGTTGTTTTCAATATTTTCCTTTCGTTGTGTCCCTGCCCTCCCCACCCCCGCGATGTCGTTTATATAGCCTTTCAGTGTGTCTTGTCTAGACTACTCTTCTTTTCCCAGAACGCGAAACGAACTCCCATGACCGTACATGGATTGATGTAAACAACCCCGAAATGATATACGGCGTTCGCGTACACACCACAAACAGGAACCGACTGGTGTCTTGTCTAGACTACTCTTCTTTTCCCAGAACGCGAAACGAACTCCCATGACCGTACATGGATTGATGTAAACAACCCCGAAATGATATACGGCGTTCGCGTACACACCACAAACAGGAACCGACTGGTGGTGTAACTTCAAGTCTAGACTTTTCATTCCGCGAAAAAGTAATGCCGAATTACGAAACGCAGGGAGGGCCCGTAGAGGGAAATCCACTACTGTAATAACTCGCAGACAGCCACATACCATAAAGAAAGGTGAAAGTACTACTATACCGTACGGATCCACGCGGAAGCTGAGGGGAAGACAAATTCCGCACGGAGTACAAGTGTCATGAGGCTGAGCTTCATCCGTCATCCTTAAACCGGGAGATAATTTTCCCGTGCTTCCCGTACGTTGATATATCTACATTTTCCCAAGCACAGAGTTTCCTTCGATCCGTGGGCCAGATCACACCGTATACCGTGTTGTACCGAGTGTGTGTCAAGCTGCCTGATGAAATAGTGCGATTAGCAATACGCGCACCTCCTCCTAACCACGACCACCACCCCCGTGCTCCCGCCCGACGGCAGGGCTCGCAACCCGACCTAGGCACCGGCGTGGACCGTGCCCTGAGGTCCTACGATGACAGCTACTACTCCGGAAGCGGCGCGGACTTCTCGCGGGAGACCTACGAAGCACTCCAGGCCGACATCACGGCCGTGTTCACGGACTCGCAGGACTTCTGGCCGGCGGACTTCGGCAACTACGCGCCGCTGATGATCCGCCTCGCGTGGCACTGCAACGGCAACTACCGCCAGTCGGACGGCCGCGGCGGGTGCGACGGCGGCCGGATCCGCTTCAACCCGGAGCGCAGCTGGGCCGACAACACCAACCTCGACAAGGCGCTGACCCTGCTGCAGCCCATCAAGCTCAAGTACGGCGACGCCGTCTCGTGGGGGGACCTCATCACCCTCACGGGTAACGAGGCGATCAGGTCGATGGGGGGCCCCGTGCTTGGGTTCTGCGCCGGGAGGCTGGACGACGCCTCCGGGTTCGACAGCCTCGAGCTCGGACCCTCACCCGAGCAGGAGGCCGTCGCTCCCTGCGCCGTCAACGGGACGTGCGAGTTCCCCCTCGGCACCAGCACGGTGGGGTTGATCTACGGTGAGTAAAACGGCGGTGTTTGTTTTGTCGCTGGGGCAATGCGTAGTGATGAGGGTGGGTCTTGTCACCGCCGTGTTCCATCGAAAATCGAAAATACACAGACAGGTAGGTAGCTCTCCTCTCCTTTGGTCTTGTTCCCCCTGACATGGAGAAGTGAGTAAAACTGGCGCTACAGAGTTTCCCGCCAGATAAATGCGTAGTCGATAGATATAGGTAGCTCACCTTTGGTTTTGCACCCCATGACGACGACGCCACACGCGCGGACGTAGGCGTTGGAGCTTGGACCCCCGCTCGGCGACATGTACCTCGTGATTTCGGCAGCGGTTTGCCAGTGCCTGCATGCCGGAGTACCTAGTCATCTACGCGCCACTGCCCCTCCCTGTGTTCCTCTCGAAGGCTCGCGCTCATTTTCTCTGCACCGCCCCTGCTCAGGGTATTCTTCTAGTATTTTGATGTAATCAACCAATTATTTACCTTGAGTGTTCCATCAACAGAACAAAACATTTATTTCATCACAACCACTGCTGTTGACGGCGAAACTCTCCTACCTCCCCCATACATCCCCAGTGAACCCGGAGGGGCCCCTCGGTGTTCCCGACCCCGCCGGCAGCGCTGCCGATATCCGTGACGTGTTTGGGCGCATGGGCATGAACGACAGCGAGACCGTGGCTCTTATCGGCGGAGGGCACGCGTTCGGTGAGCTTGAGCGAGTCAGAGAGTCGGCAACAACGTGCTATAATAGTAGTTTGTTTATTACTTGTACGCATCGATCCGAAACGCCATCATTGGTACACGTCGTGCGGAGCGGAGCGTCTTGGCATCTGAATTGGTTGTGTTCTCATGCGCACCACACAGGCAGAAGTACAGCACGGGTTGTTGCTGACGAAAAGGATCTCTACAATGTCGGTCAGCGCGTGCCCGTGCCCATGCTGTTTCACATCTAGCTGTAGGCTAACCCCTCCAGAACGCTTGCACATCATCGTGGCACAATTATCCATCCTCTCTTGCAACCGCGCAACCCAATCTTCCGCACCACGTCCCGGCTGTCGATGCCCCTGCCCAATCCTACCCACGGGGATCACCGCCACCATTTCAGGCGGTATGCCATTCATTCCGTCTTGGAACGTTTCTTCCTCCGCTCAACGTTGCTTCCTTCGCTGTCTCTGTGCTAGATCGCTGATTACCCCTTCCCCCCCCTCCGCGCGCCATCGGGGTATAACGTGCGGCGCGTGCTTCCCAACCAGGAAAATTCCACGGCGCGTGCGCCACCGGCCCCGGCCCCGACCCCACCGACGCCCCCGAAGCCCCCTGGCCGGGAACGTGCGGCGACCCCGACTCCCCGACCTTCGGCCGCGCGGAGAACACCTTCACGAGCGGGTTCGAGGGCCAGTGGACGGTGGAGCCCCTGGTGTGGGACAACGCGTACTTCAAGGACCTCCTCGAGTACGACTGGGTGATGACGGAGAGTCCGGCGGACCAGGTCCAGTGGTTCCCGGTCCTGAAGGAGGGGGCCACGGAGACGGAGGACGAGATCCCCGACATCATCATGCTCACCAGCGACATCGCCTTGTTGTATGTGAGAGAAAGCGAAACCGTCATCTTTTCTCCTCCGCCTAGGATTGAACCCTCCACCAACCATATATGCCGAACGTGTGTGTCCAAATTTTCGGGGTAGGTCGTCGTCCTTCGGCGTAGGTACCGAGTGACGTTTGACATGATATCAGTCTTTTATGTGACGCCGTTGGCATGACACGTGCCTATCCGACACGTAGGGATTCCAGATTTGTGTCCCACGTTGACAACTATTTGATAGCCACAACACACGTCAGAAAAATGCCAGCAATGGTCGAAACCTCGCACACGCATACACCGGTCTCAATCCTTAAAATCCTCTGCGCTGACCGCTTGTTGTGCAGGACGAGGAATACCTCGCCCTCGTGGAACTCTTCGCCAGCGACCTGTCCTACCTCGACACCGCCTTCGCCGCGGCTTGGTACAAGCTCACCTCGCGGGACATGGGCCAGTTCCAGCGCTGCGTGGGCACCGACGTGGCGCCGCCCCAAGACTTCCAGCTGCCTCTCCCGGAGGCGCCGGCCGACCTCCCCGACACCGACGGGGCCAAGTCGGCGATCATGAGCATCCTGTCCAGCGATCCGTCCTACCCCGCCCTGTTCGTCACGCTGGCTTGGCAGTGCGCGTCCACGTACCGCTCCACGGACTTCCTGGGCGGCTGCAACGGGGCGAGGATCCGCTTCTCTCCCGAGAGGGACTGGGCCGGCAACCAGGGTCTCGACCAGGTGTGTGGGTGTCGCGCCTACGGTACGATGTCGCTCTTTAGGCGACGCTTGCAGGGTTGTGTTTCTTGTGCAAGTTTCGCTTAGGACACCTTTTTCCGCGTCGTTTGTGCTACTACGATCTCGCAGCCCGACTTCCTAAGCCGGTCGCTTTTTTTTTTTTGTTCCCTAGTGATTTTGCCTATGCTGTGCGTACTATCTCCTGCTATTGCCCCGTCCAATACCAAACGCCGTTGCTGTACACAAAACGAACTACTGTAGGTGCTGAGCCTGCTCGAGCCCGTGCAAGACGAGTACCCGGACGTGTCCTACGCCGACCTGATCGTGCTCGCGGGAAACCTCGCCCTCGACCTCGACGACCTCCCGTTCTGCGCCGGCCGCGTCGACGTCGCCGAGGGCGACGAGCTCATCTCGGTCCTCGAGCCCCGCGAGTACGACGACGTCATCGTGGGCGTGCGCGACCGCATGAAGATCAGGGGCCTGTCGGTCGCGCAGATGGTGGCCCTCGCCGGCCGCCCCCGCAGCGCCTCGCACATGGTCACCCTCGGCTTCAGCGGGTCCTACACGGACGAAGAGAACCCGCCCCTCTCGAACGCCTTCTACGTCACCCTCCTCACCGAGACCTGGGAAGAGGTGCCGGGATCGAACGGGCAGGAGTTCCAGGCCGTCGGCAGGTCCGGCATTTACGTGCTGGCGACGGACCTCGCCCTGGTCTGGGACCCGGAGTTCAAGGCCCAGACGGTCATGTACGCCGAGGACAACGAGCAGTTCCTGAAGGAGTTCGCATCGGCCTGGACCGCCGTCATGATCGCCGACCGCTTCGACGGCCCCACCGGCAACGTCTGTGACGACAGCTCTGACGACAGCAGCAGCGACTCTGACAGCAGCGACTCCGACAGCAGTGACTCTGACAGCAGCGACAGCAGTGACAGCAGCGACAGCAGCGACAGCAGTGACAGCAGTGACAGCAGCGACAGCAGTGACAGCAGCAGCAGCAGCGACAGCGACAGCGACGACCACTAAATGTGAACGCTGGATACGCGCCGGATGACCTCGCGGTGAGAGCCATGGTGTGGCAAGAACACGCCCGAGACATGTTGTTTCTCGTGTCTATTGATGTGCTGGTTCGTGTGCACGTCATGTCTTCCTCGCCAATAATTAATGATTTCATTCCATTGTCCCAAAACTTGCTTCTGATTATTTCCCGCATCCCACCAACCGCGTTTTGCCGACTGCTGCCCCTCCGCCTCGATGATTGCCCGCTGCTTTGTCAGGCGTACGATTTGGCGGCTCCCAGGGCATCGTCTTCGCTTCTCCGGTGGGCATACTGTTGGGCGGCAGCTGTCCGTTCCACACAGCAGCTCTTGGAACCCATAAGCAACACGTGAAGTACTTTTTTGTATTCTTAGTGAAGAGGTGTAAGAAAACCGTTTTTGTCGTAGCCTTTCGTCGAGAGGCCGATACACCTTGAGAGAAGACGCGACCACCCTTGAGATGGGACTGTACCCGCGAAGCTCTAGTCCATGACCCCCAGCACACGGGCCATACTTTTCGGTTCGTGCAGGGTAGACAAGCCGTGCACACGTAGTAGGTAGGAAAGGTGTGGCTTCACGTAAGTAAAGAGAGACGGGTTGTGAGAGGAGTGATTTCAGCGTGCATCGGACTTTGTGTAGCTGAGCTGGTTGTCGGGAACAGGCATTCGAGGCAGGACCACTTCCTGTAGCCACGCAGCACGTGTCACCGGAGCCATGATGTATCAAACTCGTGGATCATTGTGTAGACTAGATGTGAAGTACTAAATGGGGGAAGAGCCGTGAACTGAGGGGTGGTATTGGCGATGAGAGCTTCGCCCTTTTACCTTGCGCGCTTTTGTCCCATTGGTGTCGGTAAATTATGTCGAATATAACTTAGCACCGTGCGTGCGTGTTTGCTTCCTTCAAGGAGACTTGGGGGTACGAATCCCATTTATTTGGCTCAATTCATTTTCAACCGTGAACGGCTATATCCTGTTGTACGGCGGTGTCTCGTTGAAGAGGGCCAAAACAAATATATCACATTGACTCGTTGAAGAGCGACAAAACAAATAAATCACATTGAGAGGAAACATTGGGCTAATCCGGTTGAGAGCAGGCGGCGGTGGCGGCTTTTGGTGACGTTCTCTTGCGGAATGTTATCCTGTTTGCGGGGTACGGGTACGTGTGTTAGACACATGTTGTGAGAAATAAATGCGTGTTTGTTTGCTGGGGGGTGTTAGAAATATCAGTATCAACTGATAAAGACTGTTTCAGTATACGTGATAACGCACACTAAACGCGGTATAATAAGCTATTAAGGAAGTTAGTTCAACTTGAAGAACGATATTTCGGGAAAGGTATCTAGAACGATCCACTGATGGATGCGGTAGATCCCGTAACGGTTCGTAATGTTTCCTAGATGGGGCATATCTTCCTATAACGGTTCTCAGGAACGTTCTCAGGAGAAGTCCAAAGCAAGATTAGAAAGGTTCCCGGAACGTTTCCGGAACGGTGCTTTTGGTCTTATAGAACGGTATTTGGTTCCCAGAACGTTCCCGGAACGGTTCCGGACCGGTACTAAGGTTCTTCGTAGTTTCGTCGGTAATCGACAAAAACGCTGACGAGGCAGAGCGCACGCCCCCCACCGGAGCTCACTCTGTTTCCTGCCCAGCTCAACAATACAACAAATTTGTACAACATCTGTTTCTCATTTCTCTTTGAACCAAATACCATTTGGTTGTAGACTCACGTCTACAGTGCACCTCTCAGCACACCTGTCAACAAGGTGTGCCACACGCTTCTGTTACCTTGCTTGCTCACTGCTGCTACCGCCGTAGCACAGGTCACTTGAACAGATAGACTTCTGACTTGCGTCATCAGCCTATTATCTTGTTTTTAGTCAGGACCTCTTTTCAGCAAGTCTGACGTTCGCTGAAATGAAGACACCAAGCAATCTAACACCAGCAAAACCACCAGGGAACTGTTCTTGACTACACAGTCTTAGCAGACCCAAACAAAGCCTCTGATTTTCAACAGGGGGCGTCTTGGCCCCCTGTGGCGGTAAAACTTCGTGTGGTGGCCCATTTCAGGGCACGCGCCCGCATACATACTCAAATCAACAAGTTTAAACCACTGGATCCGTCACAACCCAGGGTGAAGGTCGGCATTTCGAAGTAGCGACAACATGCAGCACCCAGGGTCCGTGAGTAAAATTTCTTCATCGGGCTCCGCGAACGACATTGAAACATGCCCCGCGAAGGAGAGAGAAACATGCCCTTTGAGGCACAGCATTCGTGCATGCGTTGCATGCAGATCGATGCAAACCACTAGAGGTGCCATGCTTGCTCGGGGAGGCTTTCGCCGAAAAGGAGCATGTATAGACTACATACACAAGCCTGGGATTGAGTACTTGTGTGGCAACCATGATTCTGCATGGCTTCACTCCCTGCTTGTCGAAGGAAATGGTAAAATGGTTCGCATGACATAAATATCCTGCCGCTCCGCTAGTACTTACAGGATCCATCAACAACCGCAACTACAGCATATTCATTCCAGACCACGGTTGGTTCCCGATATGTTTGGTGTTACATGAAGGACTGGGGGATGTGACCTCTTTTTGCAAGGAAGGGGGCCACCGTCACATGACCCCCGCGCCGCCGCCGTTGCTGAGTTGCTGAATTGCTTCACCGAATCTCCGAATCTGCTCCGAATTGTGTGATCAAAACCAAACCGTTGCTTGGTTCCAAAATGGTTCTGTTTTCGGTCTGTTTCGGAGTTTGGACTGCTCCCCCTTCTCCCCTGCCTCTGGCCAGTCTCACATATTTTGATCCCGTGATGGTGCATGTTACTTTTGTCGTTTGTCGATGTGTTGGTGATTCATCGATCTACAGTACCTTCTCCAACCGGGCATTGATCCGACGACAGGTACCTGAGCACGGCCGCGTACGGCGGCGGTAACGAGGGCAACTGGAAGCAACTCTCCTCCGACACCGAGCAGCGCTTCATCATCCTCGGCGGAAAGGTAGACAAACGAACGCCTTTTTTCATTCCATAGATCCGCTGTTGTTGTTGTCGTTGTTGTTGGTTGTTGTTGTCGGTACGGTAATTACTGTTGTTGGCGTTGTCGTCCTCGTTGTTTGTTTTTGTCGTTGCTGTGGATTATGTTGCTGTTGTTGTTGCTGCTGCTGCTACACAGGTGGAGGTCGACCCCCCTTCCCCAAAAATGTCGGATGCCCTCGCCCCCTTGTGGAGACCTTCACAAGGTCGAACTCCTTGGAGAAGACAACCAAGGCCTCAAAAATACCTCGATTTCTCCCCTTTCGAGGCCTTGGTTGTCTTCTCCAAGGTGTTCGACCTTGTCAGGGTCTCCACAAGGGGGCGAGGGCATCCGAAATTTTGGGGAAGGGGGGTGGACGTCCACCTGTGTACTGCTGCTGCTACTGCCGCTGATGTTGCTACTGTTGCTGGGGTTGGTGTTGTTACTGGTGGTGGTGGTGGTGTTTTGTTGTTACCGTTGTTGGCACGGCAGTTGTTATTGTTGTCGCCGTCGTCGTTGTTGTTGTTGTGGACTATGTTGCTGTTGTTGCTGTTTTATTGTTGGTTGTTGACGACTTGTTTGCTCCGAAACTGCTGTCATCGCTTTCGCTTGTTCGCTGCGTGGGCCGTGGTGGTTCTCCCTCATCACACCTTCAGGGAGGCGTAGGCAAGACCACGAGCTCCTCGGCCCTCGGCGTAAAGATGGCCGACGACGGTTACAACACGGTCATAGTCTCCACGGACCCCGCACACTCCCTGGGAGACGCCCTGCAGATGGAACTGAAAGGGGGAAGGCTGATGCCGGTGAGCATGAGCCAAGGGGCGGTGACAACAATGGCTGGGATTTGTTTTTTTTTTGGGGGGGGGACGCGGTAGAGATGCAAGATTTGTCTGCGTCTTCTGCTATTGAGGGGAAGGGCAAGAGGGAGAGGGGCGGTGCACATTTCGTAGGGGTAGGGGGGGGGTGTCGTAATTGGGAGTGGTTCATGGTGTTGCCGGTGGGCGTGTTGGTGACGTTGCTGTCGTTTTTGGCCCTGGTGTTGGCGTTGTTTGTTAACGTGCGGCGGAATAAGACTGGGGGTGTGGCCTCAGTGACCTGCCTGCTGCCGCTATCCCGTCTTCCACCTCTCCCGCCGCAGTTTCATCCCGCAATACTTGCATGTATTACTATTGTTGGTTCCACGTCGTTGTCTTGGGTGCTCCTTGGCCCTTAGTGCTGCCGCCGTGCCGGGTTTCGTTGGCAGGTGGCAGGCATCGTCGGGACGGGGTCTCTTCACGCGCTCGAGGTGGACACGGAGGGCGCCGCTCAGGAGTACAAGGAGGTAATGTTGTTGTTGTTGTTGTTGTTGATGTCGTCGTCGTTGTTGCTGCTGTTGCCTTTACATTGAAGAACCGTTCCGGTCTCCGCCAGCACCTTCTAATGCAAGTATCCGTACTGGTCTTGTTGTTGTCTTCACATCAAAAACCGTTCGGTCTCTGCTCAGCACTTTGTAACATCCGTCCCGACCCATCTGACCCGGACGCCTTCCGTGGCCACTGGCCATGTACCCGAGAAAGGTGTTGGTCAGAGGCCGCGCGAGCTTGGTGCCGAACGTCACGAGGCATTGCTTGCTCCCGTTGTACATAGCTGGTGCTCTTACGAGTTAACGGGAGGAATGGCGGGTTCGCCAAAATTGGTATAATCCACTGTTTTTCCGCCAGGCTTTTTCTTCCCAAAGCGGAAGTGGTCTGTGAAACAGAAAAGACGGCGCACACTGCCAGAAACAGCGGCGGGGGGGGGATACGCACATCCAGAAACAGCGGGGGCGGAA